ATAAGTTGCTAACTACCAAATCCACATACAACTGACATACATTTCTAAAGGGATAAAACAAGTCACAACAAATAACAACAACCAAAGAGACATAACTTTATGTATGTGTGTACTTGATATTAGTATGGGAGGGGAAGGGAGTTGTTCATGTTATATCCATAGTCTCCCTACAGAAGAGGAAGTAAGCCTAATTTAAGATGTAAAGGTCCTGTCTTCATTTTTGATAGAAGTTTGTGCTTTAAATGCTTCGCTTAAAGGAGCTGATCTTGTAAAGATTTGGCTAATTCTAAAGTCGCAACTCCGGAGACATCTGTCTGGGATCAAATGGAGCGTGGCAACCAAAGGTTTAAAGTACTCAGTTATACGATCTGATGACCAGACATTTAGCTAGAGCCACAACTTAATTCCCTTGTCGGCAATTAGTTTTATGGGACAACCACTTTGAAGGGAGGATGCCACATGATGAGCCGTTCCCCTTCTCTCTACCTTCCCCCACATCCCTAGTGTGAACTGCCAGGAAATCCCAATGCTTTCCGTCTGTGGTCCCTTCACACTCTGTTTTGTGAGGAGCCAACGGAAAAGATGCAGCCTGACTGTCTACCAGTTTGACCTCTTAACAGTTTGATGAAAAGAAGACGGGCAGAACAACATAATTGGCCTCAAATCTACCTAGATTTTGTGACAATTCCTTGTGAACAACAGTGAATGCTTATAAAACAAGAACACTTTTTGTTCGTTCATATCAAGGACAAAAAAGATATATCCTTTACGCCTGCAAGAGGTAGCAAACATGATGTAGAACAGAGCCTTCCAAATAGGAAAAGCTTCCTAGAAATTGACATTACTTACTTACTTACTTACTTACTTAGGCGATCCCTCGTTGGATGAGTAAGATGGTCTTCCATGATGGGTTTCCTTGTGGATTCGTAGGTGGCTGTGGAGCCCTATTCTTGACCCGCATCTTCTCCCACAGTGAGGGCATTGGTTTCCAGGTGGAAGGCGGTCCCGGTCGGGGTTGGCTTGACACACCTTCCTCCTGGCACGTTTCTCTCTTTCACCCTCCACTCGTGCCTCCGCGAATTCTGCAGCACTGGTGGTCACAGCTGACCTCCAGCTAGAGCACTCATGGGCCAGGGCTTCCCAGTTCTCAGTGTCTATGCCAGAGATTTTAAGGTTGGCTTTGAGCCCATCTTTAAATCTCTTTTCCTGTCCACCAGCGTTCCATTTTCCGTTCTTAAGTTCAGAGTAGAGCAACTGCTTTGGGAGACGATGGTCAGGCATCTGGACAACGTGGCCGATCCAGCGGAGTTGATGGCAGAGGACTATCGCTTCAATGCTGGTGGTCTTTGCTTCTTCCAGCACACTGACGTTTGTCCGCTTGTCTTCCCAAGAGATTTGCAGGATTTTCCGGAGGCAGCACTGATGGAATTGTTCCAGGAGTTGCATGTGACGTCTGTAGACAGTCCACGTTTCGCAGGCATATAGCAAGGTTGGGAGGACAATAGCTTTATAGACAAGCACCTTGGTATCCCATTATGCTGCTATTTTTTGAACAAACTTGTTGCTGAGATCCATTTTCTGGAGTGCAGTTATGTGAATGGTGGCTGTGAAGGTACCAAGTTGCAGTAAGCAAGGCAAAGTTGCCTTCTGAAACAAATACAGGGAGCATACCACCCCTCTGTTATGTCAGCTCCACTGGCTCCCAGTCCACTTCCAAGCATAATTCAGAGTGCTGTTTTTGACCCATAAAGCCCTATACTAGTGGTTCTCAACCTTCCTAATGCCACGACCCCTTAATACGCTTCCTCATGTTATGGTTATGATTATAATATGCTTCCTCATGTTATGAGTGCCCCCTAGGGGGTGAGAAGGGTGGGGTAAAAGTGACGGAAATAATAATAATAATAATAATAATAATAATAATGGTGACCCCCAACCATAAAATTAGTTCCATTGCTACTTCATAGCTGTCATTTTGCTGCTGTTATGAATAGTAATGTAAATATTTGATATGCAGGATGTATTTTCATACACTGGACCAAATTTGGCACAAATACCCAATACACCCAAATTTAAATACTGGTGGGATTGGGGGAGGGTATTGATTTTGTCATTTGGGAGTTGTAGTTGCTGGGATTTATAGTTCACCTACAATCAAAGAGCATTCTGAACTCCACCAATGATGGAATTGAACCAAACTTGGCACACAGAACTCCCATGACCAACAGAAAATACTGGAAGGGTTTGGTGGGCTTTGACCTTGAGTTTGGGAGTTGTAGTTCACCTACATCCAGAGAGCACTGTGGACTCAAACAATGATGGATCTGGACCAAACTTGGCAGAATACTCAATATGCCCAAATGTGAACACTGGTGGAGTTGGGGAAAATAAACCTTGACATTTGGGAGTTGTAGTTGCTGGGATTTATAGTTTACCTACAATGAAAGAGCATTCTGAACCCCACCAATGATAGAATTAAGCCAAACCTCCCACACAGAACCCCCATGACCAACAGAAAATACTGTGTTTTCTGGTGGTCTTTGGTGACCCCTCTGACACCCCCTCGCGACCCCTCCAGGGGTCCCGACCCCCAGGTTGAGAAACACTGCCCTATACAGTTCCGGCCCAGCTTACCTGTCCGAATGTATCTCCCTCTACATCCGACCTCGGAGTTTAAGATCTTCTGGGGAGGCCCTGCTCTCAGCTCCGCCTCTGGCACAAACATGTTTGGCAGGGACGATGGACAGGGCCTTCTTGGTGGTGGCTCCCCACCAGTGGAACTCACTCCCCAGTGAAATCAGGTCAACTACATCCCTCCTCACCTTCTGGAGGAAATTGAAAATGTGGTTGTGGGACTAGGCTTTTGGATAGCATGCAGACAGTAGGATTTCAACAACTTCTTCCTTACCATTATCCTGAGACAATTCACATAACAAGTGCATGTTCTTGTCACCATTGTGACATTTCTCCTGGTCTAGATGTTCTTTGTGTTGTGAAGTAGGTTGTCAGGAGATTCCATCTGAACATGAGGAAGAACTTCCTGACTCTGAGAGCTGTTCAGTAGTGGAACTCTCTGCCCTGGAGTGTGGTGGAGGCTCCTTCTTTGGAAGCTTTTAAACAGAGGCTGGATGGCCATCTGTCGGGGTGCTTTGAATGCAATATTCCTGCTTCTTGGCAGGGGGTTGGATTGGATGGCCCATAAGGTCTCTTCCAACTCTAGGATTCTATGGTTCTATGACCTGGGAGGGGAACTGTCTGTTCCACTCAAAACACACCCATTCTTTCCCCCTAAGTTAAAAGACAAAGGTTGGTGGATGTTTCTATGAGAAGACTTGAGTGTGGATTTCACCTCCAATTTTAGATAGAGGAGCTGATCTTTCCTATAGCCCTTGGGAACATAATCCCACAGTTGTGGCAATGTTATGGGCAATTCTCAGATCAAAATATAAGAACAAAAACAGGCAGATGAATACATTTCTAAACAACTAGTGCCACTAAGCCTGAATGTGCATATTTTAGAAGAACAACCCTAACCCTCTGTCCACGCTTATTAATTTTCCACGCAGCGAGTCAGCAAAGACCTAACAGCTTGGAATATAGCAAAAAATAAGCAAACAAACCAAGATTTTTATAGATAAGTAAGTGGAAAGACCAAAGATTTATGGAGTGCCAGAAAAGCAGGGAAATCTCTTTGGTGATGTGTGTTTTATGGCTTATGATTGCTATAAAATTTTATTTATCACAAAGGCTCATAGGACATCTAAAACATTCAGATAATGAAATGCTTTCGATAAATGAACAGAACTTTCACAAGTTTTGCTGCTTTGGAAAGGATACAATGAATTCTGACTGGCAGAATAGTATGATAGTTACATGACAGGATACTAATTATTTCATTTAAAAAAGCATGTCTCTTGTCTGATGTGCAAAGGATCAAGCATGGGGAAAGTGTTCATGGAAAAGTTTACTGCCCTATGAAATGTATTTTACCACATCTATATAAATAAAAATGTAATGTTCGTTTGTGGGATTAACATAAAACAAAAACCACTGGACGAATTGACACCAAATTTGGACAAAAGACACCTAACAACTCAATGTATGTCCTTCACTAAAAAAAAAATGATTTTATCATTTGGAAGTTGTAGTTGCTGGGATTTATAGTTCACCTACAATCAAAGAGCATTCTGAACTCCACCAATGATGGAATTGAACCAAACGTGGCATACAGGACTCCCACGACTAACAGAAAACACTTGAAGGGTTGGGTGGGCATTGACCTTGAGTTTGGGAGTTGTAGTTCAGCTACATCCAGAGAGCACTGTGGACTCAAACAATTATGGATCTGGACCAAACTTGGCATGAATATTCCATAGGCCCAAATATGAACACAGATGGAATTTGGGGGAAATAGACGTTGACATTTGGGAATTGTAGTTACTGGGATTTATAGTTCACCTACAATCAATGAGCATTCTGAACACCACAAATGACAGAATTGGGGCAAACTTCCCACACAGAAGCCCCATACTTAAGGCCATCCAGTCCAACTCCCTTCACCAGGGCAAGAAGACATAATCAAAGCCCTCCTGACAAAGAGCCATCCAGCCATAGATATAGATAGATATATATGATTCACACACACATAGATATAGTATCATAGATTTGAAAGAAACCCCTAAAGAAGGACAATTATATGTTGCATGTTCTAGGGTGGGCAAACCAGACAATCTCCACATCAACACTGACAAAGAAACAACAAGATATATTGTTTACCCACAAACACCAACACATTACATATATTAGAAACCAACACTTTCTCATTACTTTATTTTCCAAATCACCAGACTGGCCACAGCCACAGCAACCCATGGTAGGGGACCGCTAGTATAAAATATAATGTTTCTAGGGGAAAAAATAGGAAAAAAAATTTCATTCAACATGTTCTTTCGATCTATCTCATTAGTTTTTCCCCCCTCTATTTTCCCCTGTCTTGACAGGTATGATTTCATAGAGATCCGGGATGGAGACAGTGAATCCGCTGACCTTCTGGGCAAGCACTGTGGAAATATTGCTCCTCCGACCATCACCTCCACTGGCCCTTCCCTCTATATTAAGTTTACTTCAGACTATGCCCGTCAAGGGGCTGGCTTCTCTCTGCGCTATGAGATTTACAAGACAGGTAAGTGTCTTGAGTGCTCAGGAAGACGGAAGATTTGTGTTGTTTCCCCTTTACCAAGTTTGTATGTATGTTTTGTTCATGTCCAAGCCCCTTTTCTTTCCTTTGTTCTGAAGGAGGAACTACATGCATGCATATACATGTGGAACTTTCTTCCTTGGAGTGTGGTGAAAGCTCCTTCCTTGGAGGCTTTTAAAGAGAGATTGGATGGCCATCTGTCAGGGGTGCTTTGATTGTGCTTTTCCTTCATGGCAGGAGGTTGGACTAGATGATCTATGAAATCTCTTCCAACTATGATATATGATTCTAGATGTGTGCAGTGTGTTTCAAAATCCAAAAACATGGAAAAACGAGTTATAGGTAACAGCACATTGTTGGCTAGGAGTAGATATCATGTGCAGGTCAAAACTATAAAAATGTATCAAATCACTTGGGAAATTGCATTTTATAGCCAAATAATATATATCCTCAACACATTTCTTTTTGATTCCTGTAAAATTTATTCAGAAGCCATTTGTGCCTATTGGAAACAAACTCCACATACAATGATAATTTGTATTGTCGAAGGCTTTCATGGCCCGAATCACTGGGTTGTTGTAAGTTTTTTTGGGCTATATGGCCATGGTCTAAAGGCATTATCTCCTGACGTTTCGTCTGCATCTATGGCAAGCAACCTCAGAGGTAGTGTCATAGATGCAGGCGAAATGTCAAGAGAGAATGCCTCTAGACCATGGCCATATAGCCCAAAAAAACCTACAACAACCCAATGATAAATTGATTTATATCATATTTTTCTCCTTATGCAAGATGCACACATTTATAGCATTTCTAAAACAAGATACAATGAAAAACGACGTGTACAAAGAGTTTTAAATATTAAAACCAAGATTAAAACACTATAAAAACATTGATCTTGAGATTATGTTTTTATAGTGTTTTTAAGGTTGTGATGCATATGGTTTGGGAGTCAGCTGCATTAAAATCACTACTGACCGAAAGGTCATGAGTTCGAAGCCAGCCTGGGTCAGAGTAAGCTCCCAACCATTTGTCTAGCTTGCTGTTGACTTTTGCAGCCTGAAAAACAGTTGCATCTGTGAAGTAGGAAATTTAGGTACCGCTTTATGCTAATTTAACTAATTTACGACGCCATAAAAATCTCCAGCAGTCTGGAAAAGAATGAGGAAATACTCCATCAGTGTCACAAGTGGACAGTGAAGCGACAGCTCCCCGGTGGCCAGAATTCAAGCATAACCTCATGAATCTGGAATGTTAAATAGCCTCTGTGTGTCTGTCTATATATGTTGTGTGTCTATGGTATTGAATGTTTGCCATGTATATGTGCATTGTAATCCGCCCTGAGTCCCCTGCAGGGTGAGAAGGGCAGAATATAAATATAGTAAATAAATGAATAAATAACCTCCAAAGTGAAAGCATGTAGTGAAGCCATGCATATTCCTTGTGGAAAAATATGTAGCTGCCTTGAGTTCCCATACCAGGAGAAAAGTAGGATAAAAATAAAGTAAATAAAATAAATAAATCTGTAGAATCTCGTGGAAGTGTTTTAGTGTGGTGTTTTAATGTAATCTCCACAATAGTTTCTAAGGAGTGTCTGTGTGTCTATTAAGTTGTCAAATCTGATAACAGAACGTCAGGCTTGACGTGTTCTCCTAAAGGATAAAAATGGAAACAATAGTAAGGTTATGAAACCCATCTGTCAGCTCTGTTGGTTACTTTTCCCACAGACACTACAGATTTCTGTAATTTATTTTGCACTAAAATACACATTTGCGGATTAATTTTGACCAAAGATGATAACTGAACTTCACATTTTCACACTTTGAATGTTTTAATGTAAATTCAGGACTGGTCAGTACACGTTTGGTGCATTTTTCATTGGGTGCAAAATATTTTTTTAAGATTGTGGGTGTTGCCAGTCAGACTAATTTATTCAAATTGTATGTGAAATCGCCAACATCAACCTAAGTAGTTCAAGACAGTACAAAAATAGAACTCTTCTCCCTGTCCCCATTTTTTTTTACTTCCTTGAAGAAAGCCCAACATGCCACATGCTAAAGCAATTTTACTTGTTAGTTTCTTTTCCAAAAATTATCTACTCTTTAGTGATCAGAGAAACATAGCCATTGTGTCCTGATATATTCTTTTGTTGAAGCTGTCCCTTAGCAGGTCAGGCTCCTTTCTCCAGTACCCAGCCTACCAGGTCCTTCTGGGTAAGAGAACGTAACGGTCAGAGCAACTAAACACTGGCTGGGGGTATGAAAGAAGTCCGACCCAATTTTTTTTTGTCGTGTCAGGAGTGACTTGAGAAACTGCAAGTCGCTTCTGGTGTGAGAGAATTGGCCATCTGCAAGGACATTGCCCAGGGGACGCCTAGATGATTTGCTCTTTTATCATCCTTGTGGGAGGCTTCTCTCATGTCCCCGCATGAGGAGCTGGAGCTGATAGAGGGAGCTCATCTGCCTCTCCCTGGATTCGAACCTACGACCTGTCGGTCTTCAGTCCTGCCGGCACAGGGGTTTAACCCACTGTGCCACCGGGGGCTCCAACCCAAAAATTGTCTTGGTTTTTGAATTAGCACCCCAAATAACCCCAGGAACAGGCCTAAAAAATTGTCTTGGTTTTTAGGCCTGTTCTTGGGGTTATTTGGGGTGCTGATTCAGAAAATTGCATTGGATAGACTGCATCAGCTCTAGTTTTTTTGATATGCTTATCCCAATTCTTTATAGGCATGCAGATGGTGACTGGTATATGGCACATGTTCTTTATCTCAAAAACTATAGCTGATTGGGGAATATTGGTGCCATTTTTGGAATCAGCAGGTCAAATATACCCAGAAACAGGCCTAACAACCGAGGCACCAAAATGTGTGTTGACCAGTGTTATGCACCACTTAACTCCTTTGTTGTTCAGTCCTTGCTCAGAATGACTGGGCCTCAACACTGGGATGTCGTTTAGTTTCTAGGCTGTATGACTCTGTTCTAGTAGCATTTTCTCCTGACGTTTTGTGGGTTGGTATCTGTCCGAACGCATCTCCTTCTACGTCCCGCCTTGAAGGTTAAGATCTTCTGGTGAGGCCCTGCTCTCGGCCCCACCAATCTCACAAGTGAGATTGGTGGGGGCGAGGAGCAGGGCCTTCTCGGTGGTGGCCCCTTGACTGTGGAATTCACTTCCCGGGGAAATTAGGTCATCGACATCCCTCCTCTCCTTTAGAAGGAAATTAAAAACATGGATATGGGACCAGACCTTTGGGTAATCTGGCAGATAGACAAAGGACAATGACGACTAGAATTGATAGGATTTGACAATGTGGAATGAATTTACGGATTCTGAGCTGGCGAACGTTGAGCATTAGATCGGTTTTATTGATTGTGATGTATAATTGACTGTTTTAATTGTTTTATAATTGCTGTTGATATATGTTTTTATCTTATTGTTTGCGTTGGCATCGAATTGTGCCTTTTGTAAGCTGCCCTGAGTCCCCCCTCGGGGGTTGAGAAGGGCTGGGTAGAAATGCGCGAAATAAATAATAAATAAATAAATGTGTTTTCATCTGTGGTTGGTATCTTCAGAGGATCTCTGAAGATGCTACCCACAGATGCAGGCGAAACATCAGGAGAAAATGCTACTAGAACACAGCCATACAATCTGGAAATCACACAACTCCCCAGTGATTTCGGCTGTAAAAGCCTTTGATGATATGATGCGTCAACACTGCTTACCTGCATGTCTCCAATTTTTAATTGTGGGAGCATTGGAGCAAATGTTGTGCATCAGGCGATAGTTCTGCAGCGTCAAATCTCCAAGGAAGGGGTTGGTTACTTTGACCTGTGATAGGCTCAGGGAAACGAAGTTGAGAGTTTTCCTCCTAGCAGCACAAAAGAATCTCTTTACACCATTAAGCTTCACATTCCTTGTAACATTCCTCCCCCTTCTCCACACTTGCCCCATTTCCAAAGCTGTTTCATCAACACTTCCGAGAAAGTAAAATATTTCAGTGCCATATTGACAGTATATGTTGATTTCTGCCTTGGCATGAGAAGCAAGCTTCTTCATTAAATGATCTCATGTATTCTTGAACTCTAAGCAGTATATCTTTTTTCCCCTTCTCTGTGGCAGATATGAAAAACTTGTTAAAGTCAAGGCTCAGGGAAAATGGTTCTCCCTTAAATCTGCACAAAGCTTGCTCCTTCTCTTCTCCCGTGAATATATGATTCAAGCCTTGATCAATAGCCTTGTGTTTCCTCTTTTCAAGAAGCCAAGGGTTTTGTAACTGGTGTAATGCTGGCTTAAAGGGCTGCTGTTGGCAGTGCCATCAAGGGAACAAGACGGGCGCCTCTTGAGCAATACACAAGGGGAACTATTCATAATGCCTTTTAAAATCCAAAACTTGGAGGATGTCTCATGGGGTTGGTGAGGCTAATCTGTCGTCCTTATAAAATTCGCCCTGTCTAAATATTTGTCAGATCGGTGCGCGTGGGGATGGGCATTCTTGGGAAATAAAAAAATGTCTGGTTTCGCGCTGGGAAGGCATGGGCGAGACAATGTGTTTGTGTGTTCATGGAGAAGCCTGGCTGGGCCTCCCAGGCAAAGAGAGGGGCCATGCTCTTGCTCACAGGACCCAGCTACCAACCCACAGTCCACTCTTTCACTGTCGGATGGAAAGGAAGAAAATGTTTTTATTTATGCATTTAATTGATGTTTTACGAGCTTTTGCTCATTTTGTATTGCCTTGGGGACCTTGGTAGGTTTAGAGGTGGTAGACAAATGTGATAGATAGATAGATAGATAGATAGATAGATAGATAGATAGATAGATAGATAGATAGATAGATAGATAGATAGGTAGATAAGGTTTTCCCCTGACATTAAGTCCAGTTGTGTCCGACTCTGGGGTGTGGTGCTCATCTCCATTTCTAAGCCGAAGAGACAGCGTTGTCTGTAGACACTTCCAAGGTCATGTGACCAGCATGACTGCATGGAGCACCG